TCTGACTATATTCCTCCTCTTTTTTCGTACTATCGTTGTTGAATTAACTGATTGATCATTGATAATTATGATCATCGTTGATGGTTTTTCATCCTCATTTTTTGTTGGCAATACGAGTATGAACCCGTTTTTTTTTAAAATATTTCACGAGGATCAATCAGGCAGGCGGTTGTGCGGAGATGGCGAGGGTATATTGGTTTGCTGGTGGTTTTTATGTTGGTGGTGACGGTACCTAACTGGTAAAATGCCCTGCTCTCTCCCTTCCTTTGGAAAATGCTATATTATTAGTTGGTGTAAGGCAGTACCATCGACATAAAAACAAACCACCCTCACCTCACTCGTGTCATTACTTTTGCTCCTTTTGTTGCTGAAAAAGATTGCAGAGGATGAAACATTTTGAGGGTAAAATATGATTTCTTTTTCATCGCAACCAAACATCTATTCTGATTAATTTTGCCGCAAATACTTTTTTGGCATCACCTTTTTCCTTTTGAAAACTAATTTATGTTTGATCACAAATCAAGAAAGCACTCTAGGTTTAGTACGTGTTTGAAGCTGTTTTGAATCATAATATCGAATTATTTTTACAAAGTTGTGTACAATAATTTTTTCTTCCCTTTTTGATCATTTTCAGCCACATCATTTGTGCTATCAATCTGATACTATCTGAATTTTCCTCTGAACCAAGGATTTGAGGCCTAAAATTTAGCGGCAATCGTCGCTCCAAGAAATAAGTTTTTTTCATTACCATTTTAGCACTTTTTGTCTTAAAAATCGTACGGTTTTTTTAATTCTTCACAATGTATGCTAGTAAAAAATTTGTATTTAACAGTAAGAATTACGATGAAAAAGAATGGATTTCATTTTGTACCGTTCACTTCACTTTGAGCAAAAATTATAAAGCGCGTGAAGTTCACTTCTTCGCATTAGTCATCGCAATGCAGTAGAGTATGTCATTCTTCGGTCAAGGAGACTGATGTTCATTTTGTCTTCGTATACCATTTCGCCTGCTATAATTGTTAGACACGAAGATCACGAAATAACTTAAATAAATGTGCATTAAAGTTTTTGCAATTCCACTTTTTCATTTCAAAAATTTTACATTTACTGCATTGCAAATTTGATGCTGTGATAGTGATAAGAAATAATTGTGATAGTGATAAGAAAGGATGTAACTCATGATTGCTACATATTTCTGCCACGTTTCAATCATCATTATTATTATTATTATTGAACTTTGCAGTTGTATAATATGTGGAGATTATGGTTGTCACGTATGCCAGTATTTTTTGATCGCAATATTCGCAATTTGTCAACAAAAGTTGTCAAATTTGAATTTTTTTTTGTAATAGAAGTTAATGGTCATATAATTATGCTATAGGAAATGCAAGAGTTTCGTCGAATAATAGTATCTTTGTTTTTATCGGATCTTTCTCAAAATTTGAGATTCATTGCTTACATTTATGATTAATTTGCTTTCGTCTTACGAACCGAAATATTCGAAAGTCATTATGAGTTTCAACTTGAAACAGTGATATCATTAGCAAAAACGATGATGACAGTTTTGGCAGTATGTTTGAGTGCTTGCAAGCTAATGTATGAGTAAATCTTTATTGGCATGATTTCACATGGTCTCATTCAGTTTGAGGTGGTAAAAATTTATTGTGATGAATTGGAAAGAGCAGAATGAAGTGTTGCTAATCACTTTTGAACGGTTTTTGTCATTATAATGACTGTAACACGAATAATAATTGATATCATTGTTATTCTTACTTGACTATTGCGCCTTATCGTTTTTTATATTAGAGTGTTCTCGCCTTTATTGCTACTGCCTGATAATATATATTCCTAGCAATATTTTCACAAGAAGGGATTATTATGCTTTTCATGATCGTATAAAAGCATAGACACAGTGATAATAAAAAAATGGGAGTTGTGTTTTTACCTCTCCATTTTTTGTATCAATATTTTTTTTCATATTGAATGTTATTTGGCTTCAGATAATGCTAAATACTTGTGTTTACATGTCCCGCACTCATCATATATATTATATAGGGAGGTGCAGCAGGTCGAAGGTTAGTCTTCTGTCTTCATGGTTCTCGCATTAGATCGTGTTTCTGCATTCTTGCTGGATCTGTCATGCACGCATTTCTGCTGGTTCGAGGGCACTGGTTGACTGCTTTCCCAAATCTTTGACTAAGCTTTTTCAACAACTTCACTTGTTTTCCATTTGTTTTCATTTATGATTCCAGGCTCGGTTTCTTTGGCATTTATCCTTCATTTCCTGCTTTGTCATATGATTCGACTACCTGGCTGATCAACCGCTCGGGAACTCGGCAGAACCATTAAAAAAATATATATTTATATGTCCCAGCAATATCACATAGAGGTTAACTTCGTTTTTTGCATTATTGATTCTGGCACTATCGTATATATATATATATATAATATACGTAACAAACAATTAATAAGGCTACGATTTCATATTATATATTTAAGTATCTGATACTATTTCAGAAGTTTTTTTGACTCCGAAAGTTTGGCTTTATTAGTTGTTACACGAAATGACTAATATGAGTTTTTGTTTCTACATGTAGAAAGAAACCTAAACTGAAATTGCATATGTATTGCAGGGGAGAATTTTTATTTTTTTTTATTTGTGAGAAGGTTTTTTGTAGAATTTTGGTATTTATTGTAAATTATGTCGATGTAACTCGCTTTTTGACTGACTTGATTAAATTATTAATGGACTAAAAAACCGAGATTTCTTTTAAAAGCTTTCAGAAGATAAACCTCACAAAAAATCGAGGCAAAGCTTGTTCTCTTTTAATTTTACATGCAAAAATTTCGTTAGATATCTTAGAGCAATAACGTTGCTAGACCTAACAGTTTATACGAATAACTTACTTCGGTTATTTGTTCGCGTGGCAGGAACAGAAGGAATCATCGTTTTATAATCACTTCATATAGCATAATTTGTCTGAAGTAAACCGCTTTAGGATGTGTTACACATATTTAAATGATATCAAGGCTTTTCCAAAAGTTTTTTGTATGTTTTGTTCGTCTGAATCATTTAAAAAATTTATTGATATTTTTAGAGAATCTTTGAAGCTGATTCAAAAATATTTCTGTAAACTTTGTGGGTAAGTTACTTTAGTGCATCGTAATTTGTTAAAATATATTTATTATGTTAATGAAAATATTGTGAGGGGAAATTTGCAATCCGTCTTTTTTCTACGTGAAATAAACTAGGAGTCTTTTCCGAATTAATGAGATGAAAGTTTTATCCGCATGATTTATAAATTAAAGAGGAATTTGCTAAAATCTTTTTGCATTTACTGCTGAAATACTGGTAATTATGAGACATAAGCATATCAGTTGCTACCATTTTCCTACATTATCTTAAGTTTTACTCTCATTTTCTCATTAATTTCACAGTTTCATGATTTACAAATTGAGAGTGCTTGTTAATATTTTGTATTTGAATGATGCTTTTTTTGAAATAGAAAAAATAAGTACAAAAAAATAAGTATCTTGTAGCATCGTCAAATTTGATATAGGTAGATGAGAGCACTCAACTAAATGAGATCTATGATAGAAATGAAATGGATAGGATTGAAACATTTGCTAGGGATAAACGTTATGATATAATAAGAGTGCTGCATTTATTTTTTAAATCTCATTCTTTTGGTGCTATATGTGGCTGAAGTCAAGGCTTTACTTATTATCCATGAAAGTCATCAAAGACTGTGCTGAACTGATTACTTATCATGAAACTTATGTTGATAATTGAATTTTTGGAACTGAAATCATTACCATTACTGTGTTAGTGTTTGCTTTGCTGTTGCTTTTGCTTCTATTTTTATTGTTGTTTCTATTCTATCGTTACATTTTCACGATTTCTGCAGTGATGAGAAATACTTGTCTCCAAAAATTTTTTCCACCCTTTTCTCTCATCATCTGATCATCGTCGCAATGCATTATATTATTCGTCCTCCACATCTCACTTTTTCAGTTTCGTTTTGTTCACAAGTATTCTTTGAAAAAAAAGAAAAAGAAAAAACAACAGGTGGAAAAACTTTTCGATTACTGAAATGTATGCAAAAAGGGAGAAGGCGAGAGAAGAGTATGTATCAATGATAAAAATATTTCAGTCTTTGTTTTTTATCGTTGTTAAAAATTCATTTCGAGTTTTTTTTTTCTCCTTCAAACATTAACTGTGAAATGGAAAAATGCATCTTACTCTTCCTAAAAACATTGGTACTTTCATAAATTTGACGTGATTTACGGATTAGACTATATATAATCTCTGTTGTATTTACTACTTTTTCATTATCGTTCTGTGTAACATTGTAAATGACCTTAATGATGATGATTATGATATCCATTCGTGAGATTACTTTTATTTTGTTGTATTTCCTCAAGTTAGATTACTATAATGGATGACTTTGCTGAGCTTATTATTATTGAAGTCAACGTATTTGAGATGCAAAATAATTATCGTACTTTCTATCGCTACTAATGTCTACTTTGTTTTTTTTTCTTCCGGAGTATTGCTTACTTTTTTATTTAGTTGCGTATTACTCAATATTTTTGAAATTTCTTTGTTTAGAACAGACGGATTTTTCACAAATCATGATAATGAAGTTTGCAATTCTAACGGTGTAAGAAAATCATTATGAATTTTTTGTATTGTGGTGATGGTGGTTGTTAAATTATCATTCTAACAATATAGAATCATGTAAAAGAAGTATTTACCTGTGTATATATGTAGTAAAGAAACAAATAAATATATGAATAACAAGTGCACATCGTATGGAATAAATTTGAAAAAGCCATATTTCAGTGGTGAAACTTGGCTATAGTAGTAGATTTTTTATTTCGTATGCATTCAGTTTGCTTCCAAAAGATATTCTTAAAAGCAGTATTACGAGGGTGAGAACTTATTTTTTCATTATGAAGTCCCTTCCCTTATTTTCAAATCATCAATTTTAATCTTAATGGTTGCTCATGAAAGTGTCTTTTTAAGCTTTCAGTTGTCTATTTGTTGCGCTTTCTGTATCTTACGAGTGTTTTCCTAAATCCTTTCTTGTTTGGTTTTTTCACAATCATCTTTTCATTTGGCAACTATCAAATTTGCAGGTTTTTTTTATGTAACCAAATTAACCCCGGACGCTATCAAATAGTGTTCTCGGGGGGTGCAACACGAAAAATTTGAAGATTCGTTCGTATTTTTCATAAAATATTATTATTGCCACTACTATTAATATATCTACTGTTAGTACTGCAATTAATTTTGTTATTCATAGCATCGAATGCATTATTTGTGTGCAGAGCACCAGCACAGCATTTATTATCAGGGTCAAGCCGTCGATACCGCTACTGATCTCTTAAATTATTGTTATTATTCCTACTATTGTCACTATTTCTGTTCTTTATTTCTTCGTTGTAGTTATAATCTTTGTAAAAAAGACAATACCAATTTGTATTTTCCGGGTTTCTTTTTCGTAGTTACAGTAGTCACTAGGCTACACTTGGCTATTCAGACGATATTCACCAAATATAAGCTAGATTTTGGACTTCAACTTTATTCGTGATACTGTCGAACAGGTCTTAATTTAAAGTTACTTATTTTTCTGCTGCTAATAAATTTCTAAAAACCACTCTGAAACAAAATGAAGCAAATGTGCTATATTTTTGTTGTGAAGTTGTGCATCAGAAAAAGGAAAGGCGCCTTTGTGTAATTTAAATTCGCTAGAAAGTATATTATTGCTTGGTAAAAGAAAAAACCAAAATAAGTAGGAGGACCTGGATCTGGCGACGAAGACCCGGGGTGACCTTCCGCAACTAGACGACAAAATTTCCGAGCTACCGAGCACGCCTAGCCCGTCCTCATCGATTATTGCACCACCGCGGCAACAGCCAAGGTTGGCTCGTGATGTAGATACGTCACAATTTATCTAACTGTGCACTTGAACCTAGTAATACTCAATGAAAACTGATGAAAGTAAGATCAGAGTATTGGTTTGTCTAGAAATTGTGTTGCTTCATAGTTTCGCTTATCCAGTCGCCTTTTTGAGGTTGCTTTCCTACGACGTTGGTTAAATTATTTTGTTAACAAAACATGTGTTAATCTTCAAAAAACTGGAAGCTAGATAAATTGTACCATTAAACAAGCACCATTTCATTTTTTTTTCTTGGAAGTGTGAAATGTATCGTGTACTAGACATCTTAGTGCATGAAATTGCTATTGCAATTTTTGAGCAAAATTGGAAACTTCATTGCATATTTGCTGTACTTAATTTAGTTTGTTTTCAGAGCTTCAAAAATTATGTTTGAGAGGAAAAACTTAAAAGTTGTGATTCATTCGATGAGTGAAGTGATAATGTTTAAACAAAATCACTTTAAACATAAATATATGCTAATTTTAGTCAAGTCTTGTCATTTTTATTTTTAGTTTATGAAGCGCATATTGTAGGTCAGGTGGCAGACAGCCAACAACTTTCTCAGAATGGCAGCTTCTTGCTGTGCTTCATCGGGCCAATTTAGTGCAATATTACGACGAATTCATTGCACAAGGTTATCCAATAAATTCTTCACATACTACTATTTACAAGTAATTCTCGATGGCAAAATAATTTGTAGTTAATAAACTTGAACTACACCTAATTCCAAATTGCTTAGAACCATAATTCTCTCGTCTCTCATTGATTTCTTTCACTGTATCATAATTTAACGATAACTCGAAATTTTCTACAACATAGTGTGTATATTATGATCACATAATTTCATATTATGATAGTGATTTATAATTATTCGTGGTTATTAGTTTATCATAGATCTTTTTCAGTTTTGGATTTGTTACAAATTAAAAAGGCTTGAACAAATTTTCATAATGCATTCATGATCAAGTTTGATCTCTTTATATTTACTTGCAAAACTTTATAGTGATCACTGTTTTGGGATCATTTTTTCCACATATTTAGATTTCAGATAAAATTTTTGCTAAAATTATCGCCCAAACTAATGCTAGTCAAAAAATAAACAAATATAACGAGTTTTTAACTAAAGGAAAAATTGACCTGAACAGATTATTGCATCAGATCTGCCAATCCCGCGGAAAAAAGATTTTCTTTTTACAGTGAAAATTTTGCAACTTTTTGGGATGGAATATTATTATATCGCTATAGGAGGCAGATTTCGAAAGTAGTGAATACTTTTGCTCATTAATCCCAATTTTTTTAAAAAAATATTGCTTAATACAAAAAGAAACCGATGGTTTAATGCAAAGGTGTATTATTGTTAGTTTTGGAGTCTTAGAATTAAATCCAAAGTCTTGCTTTTTTTAACTTTTGTATTTGGTATATTTGGTCTATTCTTGTTTTGGGTTCCGAGAAATTTGATTTTTGAGTTTAATTATCAGGTAAAGGGACGAGTTTCACTGATTTATCACACTTTATGTTCAGTGATTATGATCTTTTGATAATGAATTTTCAGCTTTCAGGTGGAGATGATATCAATCAGTTCATGACTTGCGATGAACATGAATTCTTAGAGATAATGTCAGTAGTTGGTATGGCTTCGAAACCACTTCACGTTCGACGATTTCAGCGAACTCTCACTGTCAGTAACACTTTACCATATCTAAAATGTACTTTTCTATATTTTGTGATATTAAGAAGCAAGTCAAAGTTTTCAAAAGATAAGCATATTGAACTCATTACAGAAGCAGTGTTAATGTTCAACTCATTACTTCTGTTAGAAGTTAGACATATTTATTTCTTGAAAACTTAGCACTAATTAGTATACTGATTTAGACATATAAATTCTAATATTTGCTTCTTATCTTTAATTTTTATTTTCGTAAATATGGTTGCCCTTATTTGTACTTTTGATTTCTGCCCATAAATTGTTTACATTAGGTGCAGAAAAGAAGGCAAAAATGTGTCCATTATGATTTTTGTTATCATGAAGTACAGAAATACTATAATTTTAATCAATTTTGAGGAATTCAGTAAAGATCCAGATGCGTTCAACCTGGCTGCAATACAGCAAATCGGCTTGCCACCTGCCGCTAATTATAGTTACCTGCCACCAACGTCATCATCTGCTACCTTACAATTTTTGCTTTCATCGCAAAATTTGGCTGCTGCAAGTTTAGCTGTTGTTGCGGCTGGTTTGCCTTGTACAAGTCCATCTATAACAGTAATTTTTTATTGATTTGTGTCATAAAAATCAAAGGCTCATCGAATGAAAATGAAACGAAATCATTGAAAAATATGAATTTTGTAAATATATTCAGAGAGGCAGTTGGGAAGAAGGAAAAAAAAACAGAATTTGTTCATAGCTTTAATTTTCAATTTATACTATTGTGGCAGCTAATTTATAGAAAAATTTTCCAGCACGATCGAAGTTCACCTCGTTCACTACTACAGCCGTTAGTCTCAGGTCCAAATGATCTTTATTTAGAGCATTTCAAAAACTTTTCATCATTTCCTAGGGATCATTATCTTACATAGCTAGATGTTGTTATTACTGGGTTTGTCTTCTTGTCTTATAAAATTACTGCTATTTTTCATGGGATTGAAAGCTAAAAGTAATATCTGAAACTTTATTGTTTGAAAAACTGATAATGAAAAGTAACCGTTCATTCGGCATTTTTAAAATTTAGTATATATTTTACTTGTTCGCTAAGTCTGATCTACTTATTCTCCGTTTTGTATTACAGTCAAGACTACATTATAATTTAAAACTTATGCAACCTAAAGTTTATTCATCATGTCATTTCAGGTCATGTACGTTTTTTATCTTTTAACATTTAAGAAAATCACACCACACTATTAATATTTAAAAGAACTTATTGACCCTTAGTTTTCAGTGTCGGAATCGTTGCATGAATTATTCAATGCCGCAACTGTAGCAGCGGTAGCTGGTGCTGGTACCTCAGGAACAACCTCTACTACAGCTGCTGTTGGTGCTACAGCAAATGTAATGGCAGGTGATTTCCTGACTAGTTTAGTGGCTGGTATACCTCATAATAGTAATTGTGGTTTGAGTGCGAGTGGTGGTCCTTCAAATTCTATGCAATCAGTGGAACCAACAATATCCAAGACGACTTGTTCATTTAGCGAGCATTCATGCTTAACATCCCAACATTTGATGCACCTTCCCACAGGTTCTCCAACAAGCAGTAATGAAGCAAATTGTGACTTCGATCAACTTGGCGTTGGTACAACTTTTATTGCTTGCAGCATTCAATTCCTTAATAGATATCATTATCTTTTTCTTATTATTTTTAAATATTGCCAATAATAGCTTACAAATTTAATGATATTTAAAAAAGAGATGAAAGTGCCATTTAAAAATTTATTCACAATTACGATTGGTCATTAATTTTAAAATTGAAGTCGGAGAATATTTATCACTTTTGAAATGTCAAGGAAAGTGTTGTCTTTCCTCTGCAAATATGTGCTTCTTTAACGTGTGAAATTTGAGTGACTAATAAATGATTTCTGACAACAGACTATTCGAAAAAGTTCGAACATGTCAGTTAAAAATACTTTAATCACTCTAACTTTCACTGCATTTGTTTAAATTTTAGCAAATCTGCAAATTCTCCTGATAATATAATTTTCTTGGTGAATTGAACTAATTTTGGTCGGACACTGTAGGTACAAGTACTACATCGGAGACACCTGTACTAACTGAAGCCCAAATCGGAAGGCTTGCTCAGTGTTCTCACCGCCTCATTGAACAAATGCCTCATCTGGAACCGAAACTAATACAAAATAAGAAGAAAATTAGTCGGTGAATTTTGTTTACAAACAGTTAAAGATCTCTTTTTAAAGATACATTTTTTATTCTATTTTTTTATTTTTTTTATTTAGAACACATTTTTTATTACAAGATATTTTTCTAGCAAATTTTTATGAATAAAATCTAAACTGTAATAATTTTTATCTTCATTCTTTAATTCCTTTTTTTTTGCCGTAGTAATTTGTTTAAGCTCGCGGTATTTGTTGCTGTAAATTGAAAATTTTTCAACACCTATCAAAGAACATAATAAAACTGAAACTTTTCGGTTAGAAATTTAATTATTTTAGTTAATTAGTTCTGAAAATTCAAATTTGTGGAAAATCAAGTATTTTAGGATTAACTTATAGTTTTTGAATTTCGTGTGAATAAAAAATTCTTGTTACTCATCTCTTAGAGAATTACTGGATGTCATGCAGTTGCCATTTGGTTCTCCGCAACGTCTTCAAGAATATCGCAGATATTCCGCAATTTATGGTCGTTTCGATGCAAAACGTAAACCGGATAAGCCTTTGACACTACATGAAGTTTCAGTTAATGAAGCTGCTGCGCAGTTGTGCCTTCGGCAGCCTGCACTGCTAACTAGGCGTGATGAATTATTTCCACTTGCTCGACAGGTTGATACATATATTTTGATGACTGAAACTACATAAAATGTAAAGTCCACTAAGTTTGTAAATTTTTCTTTTAGGTAGTCAAAGATGCTGGTTATAATTATGTTAAAGGAATGAAAAAGAGTGAAGTTGATGTCAAGAAGCAGCGATCACTTATAGTTTTAGATTCATTTTATCCCAGTGAACCTTCTCAATCTCCTCAAAGCTCTGCTTCAATTGGGTTATTGTTTGTTAAAACTTTTTCATATAGTACTTTATTAAATGTTTTAGTATGCAAAATGCGTTTGGAAAAATCTACTCGCAGTGCATGAGATCTCCATAATTATTATTATTTGCACAAATTTATGTAAAAATAAGAGGGTCTTAAATATTATGCTTTTTTTGGAATAAATGAAGTGTTTATTATAATTTTTATTGTTGACAATTGGTAAGTGATAAAAAGATTTTCACTGCATAGAATAATAATTTATCTTTAAAGGATTTCTTATGTAGAAATTGATTTCTTTCACAGATTAATTAAATTACAATTGTTTATTAATATAAAGGGAGGTTATTAGGTTAAATATCCTCCGAGTGATCATGAGTAATTCTAAGAAACTGAAGATTTTCTTAGTTATTGATTTAAGTTTTTGCTTTCTTCTGCACTATGTATGAATGTTATTTTGTGATTTACGGAAATGACGGAATATAATTTTTTATCATTCATTGTATTGGGTAGGCATTTGTCTGATTGAAACTGTAGAACATATAGAAAAACTGTAATGTATTTTTGGAAACCTTGGCTCTGTTATACAAACTTGAAGGCACTAATAATGTTGCACTTACAAGCATCATGATTAATTTCATACATTATTTAAATCGTTGTGGAAATACGTAGGAAATAAAAATCATGTGTACAAATAACTGACATAATTGCTCAACATTAAGGACAACATCTTGAAAATATGTCTTTTGTCATTATAGAAAAATTGCGGGTTATTGCAGTTCAAGTAGTTTAGCATTATTTATTGCGATAATTTTTATCATCATAATAACCTTATCAATACTATCATAAAAATTATTATCACAATTATTGTCGTGGGCATTAATCACCACTCCCATAATAATAATCATAATCATTTTTGTCATTATTATCGAATCGATTTTCAGTAGCCCTGGTCCGGAAGAAAATACTACTGATTCTGGTAATGAATTAACCACGGCTCCATCATCATCATCATCCTCATCATTGGTAGTGATGATTAGTAATCGTGATGATGTTGAATCCAGTGTTTCTGGTAATCAAAGAAAACGTCGTCGAGATTTGTCACCATATCATATTTTTCAACAACAGCAAGAACATCTAGAATTGTCCTCAGGTGTGATTCCACTGATAACACCTGAAAAGCAGCAAAGATTGGTCGTCAAACGACATGATAAGCAAAGTGCTGCCAAAGATGAATCATAGCTTTTAATTTCGGTGTTGGAAGAATAAATTTCTTCTCTAAAAATTGTTGTTTAATGCAGATTCTTGTAAGTTTAATTTTTTTAGATTTTTCTAAAAAATCACTAATCCATATTATCATGTTAAGTTCATGCATTTAAAAATTGTAGACGATGCAAACTAATCCCTAGGATTATTCTAATTTTTGACCGAGTCTGTTATTTGAAATTCTTGAATTTTTTCGCATGATTTCATGTTTTCGAAGGATCCGTTTATAGTGATAATAGGAAATTCAATTTCGTTCCCATCATAGTTTAGCTACAGTTTGTACTAGATGATGTCTTTCATTATTTTTTTTTATTTTCATTTAATATCATGAAATTTGCTTGCTCAAACTTGCCTTTACACGAAATTTTATTCCCTTTCATATTGGAGCAGTTATTTCACCAAAATATTGTATCTGTCATTTTAAGCTTATACTTTGAACTCAGTGTCAAAGTTGAAGATTGTTATTGTTATCAGATCCTTCAAAAGCATGGAATTTGTACTCATTGAATCGTTCTCAAAGAATAGTGCTGAAAATAGTGAGAGTGCAAGAACATTAACTCTGTTATTTCTCACGAAACAGTTGTAGCAATGTGTTGTACTTTAAGAGCGATAATTATGATTCTTTCAATTGTACTGCAAGTTTGTTTTCTGCTTTCAGTTAATTAAACCTGATAAATAGCTGTTATAAAATCACTCTGTTATACTTCTAACGAAATGAATTTGCTAGCAAAGTTAAGTATTATTGCCTGTATTGAATTTATTTCGTCGACTGAGTATGGAGTATGGAATTGAGATGTATTAATCTTTCAATACACGAGATTAACATGTGATAATGGAATCTGTGTTTTGTGTAGGAAGTTGCGAATAATGAAATTTGTTCGAATCAGTTTGAAATAATTTTGAATTTAACGATTCGAACTTTTGTTTAGAGTTCTGCTTTTCTCATGCAGAAATCTGCTTTGTTTTATAAAAAGGATCAGCAAACAGTAGTGATGTGATAAAAATAATAATGATAGGAAGTGCAAACAAGTGCAAGAATATCTTGAGAATAACCACAAAACGAAAGTAGAGATATTTAGCGCGGAGGGATAAGCATTCTTGTTCCATTTTTACAAGGACATTCGAAGTTTTCTTGAGAAGGCAGATGGAAAGAGGAGGATAAGCATCGCTCACTTTGTTTTCTGCGTTCAATAAATTAAACCTGATGAATAGGTAAGAGTCATTAAAGGAATGTGCTGGCTGCTTATAGTGCCTAGTATTAATTGTTATGCTTGGATTGATTGCATGCAGTCAGGTGGTATTTGTACAAATGTATTATTTCTTGAAAGTAGTCGCTGGCGATTATGTCACTTCTATGACAGCAATTTCAGCCTGATATTCTGACGGCATTAGCAGGTACTCTGTAGTATGCTTGCAATATTGGATAGTAGCTGTTTCAGTTAGTCATGCTTAGTACTCCTTCACATTATAAAAGTTCAGTTCAGTTTTTTAATGTGAAGTGTTTATATGCATTTGGTCATGTTACTTATCAACAAGTACTCTGATACATCACTTACTAACTGTTACTAGCTATTGTCGTTTAGTTGAGTACATAGGAATGATATAATTTGTGATTGTTACTATTTCTATAAAAAATGTACGGAAGAATTAATTTTTATCATTAGCTCAGCTCTTATAAGTAGAGCGAAAGTCTCATGTCACCAGTCACCAGTAATTAAAGTATTGAAAAGCAGGGATGATCTTATCAAAAGGCATACTTGTGAAATGATGATTTGCTTTCTGTTATTATTAATGTGTTGACAGGATGTACATTAGGTAGGGAGGAATATTTTTTTGAGCTGTTATCAACATCTCAAAAGGGCATAGGCCTAGTATTGTGTCATTATCGTATCTCTCCTGTAACTGCCTTAATAATGTATCAGTGATGATTGTTATCATTAATTAGGTTGTTAAACAAGTCTACAGTACAGGTTTATTGCAATAATTACAAATATTTCACTTCATAAAAGTATGAACCTTATCGTCATTATTGATTCAGTTGTCAGAAAATTCATTAATACAGTTAAACTATTGACTGTAAATATTTATGCGTTTCCAAAGTTCGCTTACTGTTTATTTGCCTGTGGTACACGTATGTCTATTTTCCTTTAATTGAGTATCAGTCTTTTTAAGACATAATAAGATAACTTTAAAATTTTGTCAAGTTGGAATGGGGTAGTGGGACATTATATTTCCAGAAATCTGCAAGAAAAAATAATGTGTGGCAGTACAACCATAAAAATGATTACAAGTTTTCGCATCGCAAGTTTGATATCAAGGTTTGAAATGAAGAAGTCCATGGCATTTGCTTGTTTTTTTTTACCCAAAGCATGCAGATTCCACTTATAGTAGCGTGAACTTTTGTTGCGTTCAAATTATTTGGACCCATTTTTTTAACAGCATTGGATACACTCTAAATTTCTTCGACATCATCTGCTACTTTGGAGCTCTGGCAATCGCAAATTTCATTCTCGTAATTTGCTCAAATGAATGTGCGTGGCGTTACTTATTACTGCTATATAGTACATGCATGTGTACATACGTTTGCATATGCAATTTTCTATATCTACGTATATGTTAATATGTATGTGTGCATATTACTATATATTCGTACGACCCTGTATATTTGCATTGTACGAGTATTGGATCTGGTATTTGCGATTGCTCTCTGGTATGTTTAATGGGTATGTCCAAAGGTTCCGTTTGGAAGTGGGTAGTACGACTTTGTGAAGGTATATTTTGGAGTGCACAATAAATGAAACGAGTGCAACACGTCTGACAAAGCATTTAAGTTTGATTTCAAAATGTTAATCTGATTAGAAATAATAAAAATGAGCTGGGAAGCAATATATTCAGACTTCAAAGTATTCGCACCGTATTCATGAACTGCCGTTAAGTCCATCTTAAAGTTCTGAAATGCAAGTAGATCACATCCTAATATCATGCAATCACCACAGTTCACTACTTCTCACTCAGCATCCCATAATTATAAAAAATTACTATTACTAAACACATCCAAACGCTGTAAACTACATTTTCAGCGGGTAATACCGACCTAGAATGTTTGCAGAACCAGTCAAAAACTTTCCAGTTGTAAGTGTATGCTACAGAGTCGGTTTTACAGTACGTTTCTCGAGTTAACAGAAGGCTTCAGCAAACCAATTATATTTTTAGATGATACGAAGAGAGGCGAAAAAAGATTTTCAGTAAGTGAAAGTGAAATACCCGACAAATAAGTTGCGAAGATGTTTTCCTATTGCTTGGTTTCAGACTTTCATTAGTTAAAATATAAAGCTCATGATATACAAGTAAGAAATAATTTAACATGAAGCAGATCAAAAAAAAAAGCACGCGATACAAGACTATATATGTACACAAACTAATGCAGAGAATATTTCCAAACATCTTAAAATTAATATTTCCATCTTAATCAAGAAATATCAAAACAAGTTACAATCTTAATCAAGAAATATCAAAACAAGTTAACATATAAAGTGGAGGAAACGAGAGCATTACAGGACAGCAGTTGCAAACAATGTACAAAAATACTGTAAAATATTTAAAAAAATTAAACAACTGAACTACCGCTAAAAATCAAATCATGCGCATTTGTTCAGTTGTATACTGAAGCTGTTCCATTACTGACGCTGTTACGCAAATTGGTCCATTCCTGTTTTCTTGACACTACTCTTTTTAACAGGTTTTGTTGCTGCATCTTCCGCAGCATAAAAAATTATGTTCTCTTAATTCCAGTTCGCTCATATCAGTGCTCTTTTGGCATACATCAACAGTTGATACACATGCAGCCTCATGATCTGGAAGAAAAAATCTGATACATGATTATCACTAAATACTTATAGCTATACCCATATTAACAAATTTGAGCATCAAATTAATCAAACAATAACCAAACATAAACGCTAACTTACCACTTAATGAGTAAATTTATTTACAAATAAATAGTTATGATATAGAATGATATAGAAATAAAATGCTGAAAACGATATGAATTATCTAACTTCAAAGCGCTTTTATCATTTTAATGAGGGTAATGTCAGTTGATATAACTTTCAATATTATCGAAAATTCCCAATAAATGACCTGAAAAGCGTACCAGTCACCATGTAATATTTAATCCAGACCACCCAAATATCCACGTTTACTTCGATATCATAAGTGCCGGAAACTGTCATGAAGAGGAGACTCGATACTCAGTTATCTTGCTGTTGCACCACACTAATGTTTGTCGTTTGGCTAAAATAACAAAGAGGGATTTACAGTTGTTATTTATATTACGCACATAGAAGTACGATTTACTTACAGCGTAAAAGTGCATGATATAAACAATACCTAAACAATTTACTATGAATCATTTATTTACAAGCATAATTTTCAGCTATACTCGAAACTCATTTTCATGAAAGAATGAGTACCGCTATTACCATTTGGCCCCATTAGGTAACATAGTCTCCATACGCAACACTCATTTGTTAGGAAAAACTTCAGTTACCTATGCAACCAAAAAATAAACTGAAAGATAAATCCCAAACTACCACAGAACAGTTAAAAAAAACTCAACCCCGACCAACCAACAGATCAAGTGAAGAGAGCGAACTACTGACTCACTGCTTGCTTATGAACGTCAACCAATATTCTCTGTTCATGTGAATTTCATAGTTCGGACTTAAAAAGCAGTGATCTCATTATGAAAACTTTTTCTGCTCAATCCTCAAGCACTACAGATTTAAGTGCACTCTATTTTCTGAGTTACCGCAAATGCACGCTTAGTTATGTGTACATTTATCCTTAAAGTACAGCTTATCACTGATTGACTCTCTGCTAGTAGAACTAATTACTTAACCGACAAATTTATGACAGATTCAATTGTTCCACATCTATTAAAATGCGACTTTCAAACAGTTAGTAAGTGGAATACA